TTTAAGGAAATTTGTCAACGCACTTAACAGTTATTTCATATTGGCAATTAACTACATCCTTCGCATGTCATCAAATAACATCCGAAATCACTTACACAATCTCACTTAAATCAATGTACACTGTACTGGAATTCCAGCAGCAAGTATGGCAAACAAATCTTACCTTAACAGCTCCAAAGTAATCCACAACCTTCAAAGAGCTGCCTAGTGACCACCATTCTCCCAAACCACACTTGGAAACAAGAGATTAAAGCTTAATCAGTCACTATCTCAGAAAGAGGAAATTTTCGAAACTTAACCAAATCCAAGAATGGTTTACCTATCTTGTAGAGCTCGTTCATACGATCCTAAAGGCGAAAACGGCCCAAGAATTGGAGTTGTAGAATGAAAGTTATGGTAGAAAGAAATTTGACGGAGAAAGAAGGGAGAGAATGGGTTTCTGGAAAGAGACTCTTGAAGTTGGAACTGAAGGAATGGGTTCTCACGTTTCCAGCTAAAAACCATCCTTTCCCCCTTTCTTTGTTCTTTGGAACCACCAACTACATGGGGAAAGAAGAGATCAAAAATTCAGCCGAATTCCTAAAAATTCTCCGAAAAATACTACAAACTCATAATGAATCAAGAGCAAATTGACAATAGTTTTTAAGCACCATAAAATTTCCAAGGTCTCAAAAACATGATGAACCTAATAAGGAATCAAGAGCAAATTGACAATAACTGAGAAAAAAGAAGAAGCAAGTAACAAGCAAATAAATGTACCTTGTAGGCCCATTAGGAGGATCTTAAAGCCCCTTATTTCAAGAGCAATCTCTCTTGCATCAATTTCTCCCATGCCACTCATTTCTACAATGGAATATTCTTTTACTAATTTTACTTTTGTCTCAATTTTTATTTTCCCTTTCTTTCTCCATCTCCTTCCACTAAAACTTGAAAACTGGCTCCCGAGTTCTAAAATGATAACCATTACAAAAGGAAGAACCTATATACATGAGCAATATTTACGTTTTGTACTAGGAAAGAAATTTGGGGAGGCATTTATATATAAATTTGGGCGATAAAGCCGATGATGGGATTAAATAAGTTTGTTTAGCTACAGACAAGTCATTCACATGTTAAGTTTGTTTAGCTACAGACAAATCGTTCACATGTTTCTTTTGTTTAGCTACAGACAAATCATTCACATGTTTCATTTGAATTTACAAAGACCACACATATAGCTGTTACGAAACTAATAAAAAGATAATTGAAACAACTTATCAATTTTCATGTCATTTCACATGATGGAATATTCTAGATTTGATTTTTAACGTCCACTTCCCCGTGCATCAAGAGACTTTCAAATAAGTTTAGCTAGATAAAGAATTTTTATAAAATACCTATAAGTCCATTGTTTTAACGAGACTAATTTAGGCCACAAACCGATGATTATATTGAAGTTTGCCAAACTAAAAACAAATCCTTAACTAATTTTGCGTGAATACACAAAGAAAATGAATGTTTACAATTTTTTTAAACTCTAATTGAACACTATACATCACGTTCTTAATATCTTTAAGATTTCATGTCATAGAATATTCTGCATTAAACTTTTTTTAAAGAAGAAATCTTACAAATTGATTACAAAATTCATGCGTCAGGTGTTAGGCGTCCAGAATTTTGTTCCTGACTCACCAGTGGAACAATGGTAAGGGGAAATCTAAGAAGATAAGCAAAATGTCATATAAATTGGAAGTTTTGTTTCAGAGACTGAAAATACACGATTCCATCTCAACCATTGTTAAATTATTTCCATTAAAAATAATAATTGTAAAATAATGAAATTTTTTAATATGATTAAACAAAGGTCATTTGAAAATGTTCCTAAACATTCCAAAGAAAAATGATCGTAATCATATTGGTGTGACTTAATTTCCTCATTTGCTATAGGGAATTGTTGGCGCATGAGTTGGCATTTCCGTATTGATTAATTGTAAAATTTGTTTCATTTTCTATTTCTGATTTCCTACTGTAAATAGAATTATGAGTTATAATTTACTTAAACTCCAACGTTACTTGGCCTTCAAGGGAGAAGAATACACAAAAAATTCCCACAATTGTTTCCCTTATTTTAGCATGGTATCAAAGCAACAATCTTGTGATTGTTGTCTAACTAGCTAGTATAGTTCATGCAACCCATGATTTTAATACAGACAAAATCACCGGTGCGAATAAAAGAAAAAATCGGTAACAAATCAAATGCACAAGAACAGAACAGTAGAATACCTTCCCTCTTATTTCTCTCCCTTTTTTCTTTCAAAGCTTCTCTTTTCTATACTAGTAACAATAACATCAAAACCAAAAATATTGCAACAGCAAAACAAAAATCACAGAATCGTTGTGAGATATGAGAACGTATACACCCACATTCAATTAATTGTTTTTGAGTAGTGACGAAGACCACATTTTTGTACCTCATTTCAATACTAAATGATGGATATGGGGAGAGAGTTTAACTCTTGCATTCCTTCTCCCTCCCAAAGGAAAAAAAAAAAAAAAAACACTTAAAATTCTGACTGAAAGGCAGGGCAGCAAAGATGTGTGCATGCCTAGCTATATAGCATGTGTATTTATTTTTTTTGCCCAAGTATACTTGCCATTGAGCATGTAGATGATGTTCACTAGGCTTTTATGATGAAACACATAATTTAGTTATTATTCAACTCCAATTAGTCTTGGTTTAAGTTTAGTTTATCCCCTGATCTTTAAGGGAACCAAGCCACGCCTTGATGGTCAACGGATCCAAAGCTTTGTTTAACCATAGGTTTTCCCACTTGGGCCTGGTCAACGGAGCCAGTCCCTTTTTATTAACCTTATTTTTCTGTTTGCAATAAGGCAATGACAAGGCTAGCTCACTAGCTAGCGACAGGCCAAACAGCCACCATTGTCGTCGACTCAAGAACGTAACCACCGCCAGGTTCTTTATATTCCACTCCTTCTGCAACATTTTTCCTGTCCTGTATTCAGTCAGAATTGTAGTGTTTCTTTTTTCTTTGGGAAGGGGAAGGGAGTGCAAGAGTTGACCTCTCTCGACTTATGTCTTACCACATTATTTGGTATTAAAATGTGGTACAAAAATGTGGTCTCCATTATTAGTCATAAGATTATTTGAGGGTAATTGGGTGTATTCGTTCTCATCTTACAACACGATTCCGTGATTTCTACATGACCGCATACTTTCAGAAGAAGGTTGTATACTCTTTGCACTTAATTAGTATAGTTACAAAAAGATGCCATGATAGGAGATAAATGAGTATCAACAGATGCAGGTGACCCAACAGGGCTTTGAGCATTTTCTGTAGTACCAGCAGTTTTCATGGCAACAACCATTATATATCAAGATTGGACACGTGTGGGAAATAAATAAATAAACGTCATAGAGCATTCAAGTTTTAAATTGAATTTACATTGCGGTGTAAAAAAAAGGTAGGGAAAATGAATCTCCATTATTTGTTGCTACCCTTTTCACATGTATTTATATGATATAATCACTTTCCAGTCTTATAGCTATATCCATAGTTGACTGTCTAAGATGCAAGGGATTTGTAGCTCAAGTGGTTAAGAGTATTTACTCCCTGCACCCGAGGTTTTAGGTTTGATTCCCCCTCCCCTAATATCATTTTTATCAAAAAATAATAATATTAATTGACTGTACGTCTAAGATATTGTGATTTACAATAGTGCCGGAACTTGATAATAATCTCTTTGAACTTGATGATTTCTTTTTTAGGCTCAGTCGCTTAATCCATTTTGGGTACTCAAATGAATGTATGGGTTGCTTTATATAAACTCCTCCATGAAGCAATGACTGATCTCTATTGGATGCTCATGCGCTTCATCTGTAAAAAAGAAATTAAGTAAATTTATTTCATTCTGGCTATTATTTTTTAAGGAAATTTGTCAACGCGCTTAACAGTCTAAACTGTGAGGCATCTACACTACATCTCAAAATTGAGTTTTCCCTTTTCCCCTTTTGTGAAAGACGACAGCGTTTTATTGAAAGATTAAGACGAGTAGCGATCAACGGTGAAGAACATGAGTTTACATATAGAGGCTCCTAAAATAAATGAATAAAACATATCATGATCTGAAAATAAACCCAACTTAGCCAAACGATGAGTCACAACATTGACCGTTTGGCGAACATATGAAAGCAATCTTTTATTTGCATTTGTGCTACAAATCTAATAAGGACTCAAGAATTTTTATTTTCTTTAGCAGCATTAATCACTCGACAAATTTGATAAAAACTACGAAAAAAAAAAACAAGCAACTAACGTCTGTAAATAAATTTACCTTGCATCCATCCCAGCTAGGAAAATGTTACAAAACCAATCCCTTCGTGCATCAATTTCTCCCACGCCACCCATTTTTATAATGGAATAAGTTTCTTTCACTAATTTTAATCATTTCCGAATTTTCTTTTTCCTTTCCTTTTCTCTCTCTTTTTTTTTCGCGACCATCCGACTTAAAACTTGAAAATTGGCACTCGAGTTCTAAACTAGTAACTAGATTATATGAGCAAAATATGACTTGTATCTAACAGGTTGGGGGTGACATTTATAACAAATTTGGACGATAAAATTGATGCCGAAATTAAATAAGTCTATTTAGATACATACAAATCTTTCACGGATTTCACCTGAAATTACAGAGACCACATACAGAGCAGTTACCTAAACCGAACACTAGTTGGAAGGGGAACAGCCTATGACATGTATCAATTTTCACGTCATTGACGTGATGGAATATTCTGGACTAACCTGTGGACGACATCTTCCGGACCCAAAAAAAAAAAACCTGGAGACAATATCATTAGTAAGCCCAAATCCATGACAATATTTATGAGTAGGCCCAATAGTTGTGCCCGCAATCTTTTTTGGTCCCAAAATGAAGAAAAGCCCACTTGAACAGTTGAACCCAGCACAATCAAATACATTACTTGAATTGAAATCATTCCGAACGAATCAAAACCAGCTGCTTTATAATCAGCGCAGATGCAGGAGGAGGAGGACACTCTGGAGAGTGGAGGAAGTGGTGGTCGCGGTGGGTCCCGCTCTCACTTGTGGTGGGCCGGGGCCAGCGCGGCCCAGTTGGGTTGGGCCGTGGTTTCGTCCCGGGGAGGTTGCGCCGGAAATTCCACGACGATGCCTTTCAAGGCCTTTGCCGTTGCGTCCCTCTACGTCGGCTCCATCGCCACCGCGGGCGTCGCTGGCCTGCAAGCCTCTGGAATCCGCAAGGTTAGCTCTCATCTCTCTCTCTCTCTCTCTCTCTCTCTCTCTCTCTCTCACTCTCAGATTCTTAGGGGTATATCAGTCACTTCGGGAAATGTTTTCACTGTGAGTGAAGCACTGCAATTTGCTACAAGTTGTATCAGTGTGGCATGTATCTGTGTTTTGTATTTCTTGTGTAATTACAATTACGTCCCCCTGATTGGATGGTATTTGCAAATATATACGCCCTTGTCTTGCTTTCCTTATTTGTCTGTTTTTCTATCTTTGGCATTTGCAAATATTCAGAATTTCATTTGTCAAATTTTAATATTTAATAATAAGCAATGAAGCAAAATGATTGTGAATAACAGTTTTACTGAATAACAGAAGTGTAAGGTTCTGTTCATTTTGAACTTTGAAGTGAAGGATTAGTCTGATTGCTTGGGGAAAAAAAACCCAGAAAAAGAAGTCGATGACAAGTAGATTGCATTTTTGGGTAATGGGAAGGTAGTGTTATAGAGACAGATGTTTTCTTCCTGAAAATAACACTTTGGTGAAGAAAGGAGTATAAAGGAATTGGGCTCTGTCATGTGGTACAATGAGTTTGCTGTGACGAATGATATGAGCATTTTTTTCCCTTGTGGGCTCTTTTTGAATGGATAGCTAGTCCAGCAATCCTTCTCTCTTTTAGACTTAGTTTCCTTTTTATCAGTTTTAAGATGTTTTGGATTTGGGGTATACCTCTCATGTACCTACAATTGCTCTTCCTTTTGTGTTCTTATGGTTCTGAGACTTTTCTCCATCCGCTATTCGTCGTCTTCTTCCTTTCAGATATTTTGATGGAGGAGGGAGAGGTCGGGTTTGGTACAACTTATATCTTAGCTAGAGTGTGGACCTCTTAACTTGAGCTACTCTCGAGACTGGATACCGACTATGGTACAGTTTATCATTGAGCCTTTGAGCCGAATTCATGATGTTTTAACTTAGCCAGGTTTGTTGCTGAATTTATTAGCTTTTGTTAGTGGTTTTGTGGAGTAGATCCTTTAAACTGTTTATCCCTTTTTCTCTTTGAAACCTCACGGCCATTTTAGTCCCCTCATTACCTAAGTTTAGACCTATTGTAAGTTTGCCAAGTTTAGACCTTACTCTTAAAGTTCTCAGCCCTCTACCCTGATCTGAATAGGTTTCCTAGTTGCAATACCGAGAGTGGAACAACTTATCAGGTTTGATATCTAAAACTGTTCGGTCCTTATTCTATCTGCAACTTGTTTGACCTTTTCTCAAAAACATGGACGCTACTTAGCAATTAATGAAGGTGTCCTAAAAGAGCTGAGATAACACCTCAAAGTCTTACATAAATCCTTACTGTCTAAAGATGGGAAAATTGATCATATAGGTAGATATCCAGTATAAATTCAAGGAAATTACCAACTAGCCTTTGATTCAATGAGAGTTGTCTCCACTTAGTTCGACGAGCTCTCATATTAGACTCACATGAATGCAAGGATAATATATATTTGTGGTGAGTTAGATACCTAATTGTAGCTAGCCCATTGCAGTGGTGTAGCTTTGTCGTGGGTGCATTATCAGCCCCATTGTTAACGTAGATTTGTATCCTATCATTTAGGTTGTTGTGATGTGTACCTCAAATGATACATGTACTGAGTCTGTAAGTTGTTTTACAGGTGGAGGATCTAGTAGAGCTGGGTGCAAACATAAGAACTGGACTTGGGGTACCTCAGAGGACAAGAGACGAATAACCTTTCATTGTTTGGTTGTAATAATTTTATGTTTCGAATTCAATTTCAATTTTATTATATAAAACCAACACCTTTATGTTGGATTCTCATCTTGAAAATATATATTTTTTTTTTCACTTGATCACTCTTTTCCATTTGTAAGATGAAGTTACCAAACTCATTGAGAAGAATCCATTATCTCACCACATTAATGTTCTATTTATAAATAATAAAAAACGTATATAAGAAAATATTTATCAAAGGAAAAGATGGATTTGGTGCAACAAAAGCATTGGCATGCCCAATACACAATGGGCAGAACATATGACACAACACCCATGTCGTGCTTAGCACAATAAGAAAACAAAGTGAGTGGGTCTTACATGAATTCTACATGGTTTTATGATTTAATGACCACAATATATAAGAGAAATGGGATAAAAGTTGAGATAATTCTTCCATCTCTAGTATTTTTCAAATCCAATTCAACCTAATTTTATTACAAATTTATAAATAAACCCAATCCTAGACATGTATTTATAAAAAAACCCAAGCACTATTTAAACATAGAAACATACCCAAAATCAACCCCAAAGTCAACTTTTTGGGTGTGTATATAAATGGGTTTTGAGTGTGTGTAATGATGGATTTTGGGTGTGTTTATATGTTTAAATAGTGCTTGGATTTTTTTATAATTTCAACCCCCATTTTGGGTGTTTTAGTGAAACTCCCTTTTAATTATATACATTGACACTATATATGACTCATTTTACATCTAATTATTTATGTTAATATCAAGTGAACTTGACTTGTAATACGCACGAAAAAGTTCAATATCTCTAGGACGCGACGGGGCTCTATCAAGAGCAACGACGAACGAACCCTTATGTGTAGAGATCGCCTAATATTCTAGGGCTTAGTTGTTTTTTCTCTCCTAAATGACCGTATGAATGAATTATTGAGAAAAGTTGACCTGTTTTGCAAATACTAGAAAGTTAGATAAAATAACAAGTAGTAGAAAAAGAAGACAAAAAAAAAAGTGTCGACGAAAGGGTTTTTGGGGTTCAAGCCTTCTCTCCGTCCGTTTGCAATCTCCACAGGCAGCGCAACCTCCCACTCTATTTCATTTCCCTAACCAGGTAACCCTAATTCTAAAACCCTAACCCGGAAGTATAAACATATTTGCATACATAGTTGTCCATATGTGTATATTGCGTGATGTGTGCATATAGCCGTATAGCTCAGTTTGAGTCTGCGAAGGTTAGCGAGCTCACTTTATCTGAAAAGAAGTTACATTTTTTCTCCTTTATTTGCGCTTTTCAACCGTGTTCGATTTATGAGAATTCCTGAAATTAGAAGAAGTGAAATTTCTGAGAAAGAATTTACAGGAACTGGAATAGTTTGCTGAAGTTTTGGACTTTCTATTTGGCATGAGAGTTATTGCATGAATTGAACTAATCTTTCTGTGCTCTTTGGTTTTATCTTTTAATCGGGTTTGGGGTGTGCTTGTAATTGTTTAATTCAACATAGATAATTTGTAATTGAGCTCAGGGCCTCAGGGTGAGGTAATCATTGTTAAAAATGAAAATTTAAAACTTTTTAATCACACCCAGCCTCTTCCTCTCAACAGGGAGGAGAAGGCTAGGTTTTCCCATTTTAAAAGAAACGGCGGCACCAACTCAAGAAGAAGGAAGAACACGGAAGAAATTTCGGAAGGAATTTCCAGGTCCGGCCTCTTCTTCTTGACTTAAAGTTAGACGGATTGGTTAACTTGAGTTGTGCTGAATTCACTGCTGCCTAAGAAGTAGTTTATTTTAAAGTTGGGCTTTTAAGGTTAACATCTGGCTTTTGCTCATTGAGTGCTCTGGTAGCGTGAACATTGGTGTATTAGTGTTCCGTTATTAAGTGTATCATTTCTGTTTTATCCATTGTAGGTAGATGGCTAGATGGGATGAGATTCTGTCCCTTCCTGTTCAGAGTCCACCAACACTGGAGTTTTCTTCTGCTGATATTGTGTGGTCAAAGGTGGAAGGTTGGCGTGACAATAAAGATAGAGTTGCTCTAATTCCATTTGCTAGAGTTGATGATTTTTTGAGGGGTGAATCCGCGAACAAAGAATGTCCAACAAGATTTCATGTTGAAGCAAGGAGGCGGCGGCAGGCAAAGACGCCTTACAAACCAAAGGTTGATGGTGTTCTTGAATATATTCTGTAAGTTCCACATTTTTTCCTCTGTCCATTCTAGCAAGCCTTCCTGCCTTATAATTATCTTCTTTAAATGTGTAGATATTGGTGTTCCTTTGGGCCTGATGACCATAGGAAGGGTGGGGTTGTACGACCTAGCAGGACTACTTATCTCCCAAAGAAGAAAAATGCTGGTCGACCAAACACCAAGAGAGGATGTACCTGCCACTTTATCGTGAAACGCTTAATTGCTGAACCATCAGTGGCGCTTGTCATATATAATCAGGATAAGCATGTGGATAAGAAAGGGGTGCCATGTCATGGCCCGCAAGACAAGATGGCTGCTGGAACGCGTGCTATGTTTGCCCCATACATCTCTGAGGACCTACGTCTTCGTGTGCTATCTTTACTATATGTGGGGGTCTCTGTGGAGACTATAATGCAAAGACACAATGAGTCAGTAGAGAAACAGGGCGGTCCATCTAATCGTGATGATCTTTTAACCCATAGGTACGTTCGGAGACAGGAGAGGATCATTCGACGTTCTAGATATGAATTGGATGCAGATGATGCGGTTAGCATCAGCATGTGGGTGGAAAACCATCAGAGTAATGTTTTCTACTATGAGGATTTCTCTGATGTGGACCCTTTCACTTTGGGAATTCAAACAGATTGGCAGTTGCAACAGATGATTCGCTTTGGAAATCGCAGCCTTCTAGCTTCTGATTCAAGGTTCGGAACAAACAAATTGAAGGTCCGTTTAGTTTGTGTAGCCTTTTTATTGTTAACTGCAATTCTTAATAGAATGTGCAACTGAATATGTTCATGTTTGGATGTTATATAGTATTCAGTTCACAGTCTCCTTGTATTTAACGACGACAACAAGGCCATTCCAGTAGCTTGGATAGTGGCTCCAAAGTTTGAAAGTTCCAATGCCCATAAATGGATGAGGGCTCTTTACAATAGAGTTCAAACGAAAGATCCTGCATGGAAGTTGGCTGGGTTCATAGTGGATGATCCGCTAGCTGATGTGCTCACTATCAGGTTGGCTTCTCAGTCCTTGTCCGAACATCAAACTGACAATAGATGATTGTATTCGCTGATGTTTTGTTTGGTAGAACACAGTCCATAGATCATTTTCCATAGAAATGGCAGTGTGAACCCAACTACATCACCACTTATTAACCTGTTTCCAATGTATTCCATTTCAGTTGTTTACTTATGATTAGAAGATTCGTTTTCAGTTTAATATTATACGCAGGTGGGATTCTCTCCTTGAAATTAATGACCAATCTCTTGACTTGATCAGACTGTCCAGTCGATGCACTAGTATTGTGTGATTTGTTTGGTTTTGACCACAAGTGATTTAATTTCAACACATAGCCTTGCTATTATCAAATGATGTTTAAAATCAAGGTTGAAGGCTATAAATAAATCTTATTTATTTATCCAATTTTATGAGGTGACCTTTTGGGGTTTGGGCCAGTGACAATAGCCGCAATGATTTCAAAATGGAGCAGACCACTTTGACATGATCTAGAGCTGTATTTCTTTTTCTTGTTTTAATGGATAAATACTTGATGATTTGAAGCTAAGTGAATAATGTTTTTTCATTGTATTCAGGGATGTATTTCAGTGCTCGGTGTTGATAAGCTTTTGGCGCGTCCGTCATGCATGGCATAAAAACTTAGTAAAGAAATGTGTGGACAATGAGATGCGAGCTGCAATATCGAGAGAGAGAGAGAGAGAGAGGTATTACCATGACATCAATGGTACAGATCAAGGCAAAGATGAGAAAGAAAGCAGTCGAAAAACATGAGAGCCTGGCCATGTTTAATTAATTGTAAATTTTCTACCTTCAATCTAGTTTCAGGGAGAATGGAACGTTGTTCAGGAATATGATGCATGTGATATATATATATATATATATATATATATATATATATATGTGCATACATACATATATTCATAAATTTTACATATATAATCGCATAAATGTGTGGATGTTCATGTGTGTGTGTGTTTGTGTAATATATATATATAATTTAGTATATGCTTTGCATGTAATATTATCCATTTGTATACAGGGGAATTTGATATGCTAAGAATTGGCCTGCTGATTGTAAAGCAGTCTTTATTTGGCAGAAGATCAATTTATTGCGTGGGTTCAATATAATATTTAGTCTTGCAGATAGTGGCCTTTTTGTTTTCTTTCTCCCCTTTCTATTGAGCCTTTTTTTCTTTTTTCTTTTTTTTTAAATTTAAAATTTTGCTTTATTTTGAATTACTCATTCAAGAAAAATGTTTTTTGACATAGGGATGTGGATCTCTGCTCTACAAAATCTTCCTCTTGCCAGCCAGGAAACCTGTGCAGCAATGGAGTTCTACCACAACCAACTAAAGCTTAGGTTGTTGAATGAGAAGAAACCTAGTGTGTACACACGAGTTGATTGGTTGGTTGACAAGCTGGGTACAAAAGTACATTCCTACTTCTGGCTTGATGAATATTCTGAGAAGGATGATTTTGCTCGATATTGGAAAGATGAATGGGTGAGTGGTTTAACATCTTGGCGTAAAGCGTTGAAGATTCCAGACTCCAATGTAGTCATGGAAGGTACATGTGCAAAAGTTATTAGCCAGCTTGATCAAGATAGGGCTTATCTTGTTTGGAACCCTGGTTCACAGTTCGGTATTTGCAACTGCAGTTGGGCAGAAATGGGCAACCTGTGCGAGCATGTACTGAAAGTTATCAGTGTCTGTCGGAAAAAGTCGGCTATGCCATCTATAAGCCTATTGCAGTACCACCAGGCCTTGATTGATATGCTGCACTGCCCACCTCATGATTCTTTGATTCGTGATCATGCTGTTTCTTTAGCCGTCTTTGTTCAGAATCAATTAAATGGACTAGTTAATTTGGAAAGCTGCAATACCACAATGGATGTGACATCTTTTGCTGATCGAGATCGAGAATTAGTAAATGAGGAAGTAGTATCTCATAATGAGAATGATTGTGGGGATGGACATGTCACTGCTGAGAGAACCAAGGGTAAATTGGGTACTGAACAGAGTAATTTGGTAGCACGTGGAAGTGGCATATGTAATGAGAGTTGTGGAGAAGAAGTATCTTGTGATGAGATGGATGTTGACCCATCATCCATCTGTATTTCCCCACCTGGGTTATATTCTGTTGACGAGGTTGTGTCTAGCAGTGTCTTCTCCGGAAGCAGACAGAGGTCATTGTTTAACACAGAGACTGAAGATTTGGCTTCCACAGATGATCCTCTTACTAATCCAACTGGATATGAGGACGATATCTTAAATAGAAATAGGCAAGAAATTGCGATGGATGAGGACATTGATATCCCTTCTTCAACAATGGAGTTTGTGGAGCAATGCACAATAACCCATCCGGATGATGACCACATCCATGATATTGAACACACTGTTATTTGCAAGACATCTGATGACCATACTGTATATAACAAGATCTCCCCATCTGCATCTATTCCTGTTGAATCACAAGTGGTTGAAGTAGCTGAAACTTCAGGTGTCATAACAGGAAATGAACAAATGGAAACTGAAGGAAAAAATGGAATGGAGTTTGCGGAACAATGCACAGTAACCGATCCAAATGATCTCCACTGCAATGATATTGAGCCCACTGTTAGAGCATATGGTAACAATATCGTAGATAGCAAGACTTTGCCATCTGCATCTGTGCCTGTTGAATCACAAGTGGTTGAAGTGTCTGAAGCTTCAGAAAGTGATAGAATAGAAATTGAAAGCAAGAATGGAAGCACAAGTAATCACCGATCATCCGTTGATGATGCTATCACAATTGATGGGGTTCGTGACAACTTGATAAATGGTTCTGATTGTAGTCAGTATTCAAATGCAGTTGGCACTTTGATGGTTGTGCAAGGAGAATCATTGCTTAAATGCTCATTAACATCAAGTTACAATGAGGAACATCTGCCTGTTGAGAATGGGGATGCTGAAGCTGTTTCTTCTGAGAAGCCGTCTTTAATTACTGAATCTCATCTTACTAGGACTAAACTTCAAAACGGTGCTGAAAGCATTAACAGTAACAATGGGCTGATCAGCCAACCAGTTGCCAATGCCATCAATACTACTGCTGAGGGAACAACTTCAATGGAGACTGCTGAGGCCTTTTGACGAGTGTGGCATCCAACAGACTTGTGACAGATGAGCTAAAATATTAGTGCTATTAGTGCTTTAGTTAGCTGTAGGGTTTTCTTCATGTATATACTCTTCAATAGATCTAATTATAGCTTTTTTGTTCGTTGACCCGATTTGTTGTACCAAAGTTATATGGCTGCTAACTTACATTTGAGCTTTACAGCATTTCAAGGAAACTTTGAAAGCTAAGATATCTTGGCCCAATGGAAGTAGTAAATGTATCTCTTTATATTGTTTTTGTGAAGGAATAGCATTTAGCCATGTGAACCACTGTCAATAGGAAAAGGAGAATTATTATAATGGATGGTTTTGGAACTGTTTTTTTCTTCTTTGAAATCTTTTTTTATTTTTTTGTTACATCGGAGTTCGACCCTGAGTTCAAATTCGGGTGCCAATGGGGTGAACCCACCACCATTGTGGTGGGAACCCATTGGCTTCTTTGAAATCTTCAAGCAGCCCTATCCTACCAAATAAATGTTTAATTTCCAGGGAATTTTTTGATTTTTTATAAAAAAATTTGAGGTAAAAATGTCAAAAGAAACAGGGCTCCTTGCTTTGATGGTTGGAAATTAAAATAAAAAATCAGAGAGGGCCATTTTCGTAACTTCACCGGTGTGATTTTGAAACAGAGAAAAAAGTGCGAATGTGGGCTAATTAGTGGACGATGGCATCAGTAACTGCCTTAACCGCCACTACACAAACGATAAGAAAATCACAGAGATTGCTGCACAACTTATAGAAAAGCTTTTGCAGAAAAAAGTGACAAAAGTAACTCCCTTTGTGTCTGAGAAAGGAGAAAGAATTCTGAATGGAGGGTAGAAGAGAAGAGGGTATAAGGAAAGGGCCATGGAAAGCAGAGGAAGATGAAGTTCTGTTTAACCATGTGAAGAAGTGTGGCCCAAGAGACTGGAGCTCCATTCGATCCAAAGGCCTCTTGCAGAGGACTGGCAAGTCTTGCCGTCTCCGTTGGGTCAATAAGCTTAGACCCAACTTGAAGAAGTAACCCAACTCATCATCCACCATTTCATTTTCTCTTTCTTTTTTAGTTGTTGCATCTGGTACATTGTTTCATGCACATGATATGTGATGAAGATTTTTTTAAAAATAGGTTCTTGGGTTTTGGTTGCTGATTAAGATTTCAAAAATGGGTTTTTGTTGCTAATCAAGATTTAGCAAATGGGTTGTTGGGGTTTTTTGCTAATTGTATTTGGAATTTATGTTTGTTTCTCAGTGGGTGCAAATTCTCACTAGAGGAGGAGAGGGTGGTGATAGATTTGCAAGCACAATTTGGGAACAAATGGGCAAGAATAGCAACCTATTTGCCTGGGAGGACTGACAATGATGTCAAGAATTTTTGGAGTAGCAGGCAGAAGAGGCTGGCTAGGATTCTGCAGGCATCAGCACCCTCCAAGTCACACAAAAACAAAAGGGAAGGCCCTGTTTATGATGAGGTTATCACTTTGGAGGTAAATGACATGTTACTTCCAGAAAGAAGAAAAACCTAATATTGGTTTTCTGGATGTGTAAATGACAACTTTTTTTCATTCTTCTTTAATCATTTTTGGTAATGACTGCAATTGATGTCATTTTAACAGAAAGAAAATAAGTTTTTCTACTTGTGCACTTGAAATACTGTCTGAAATTGATTGCATTTTCATGTTAGCCCCATTTAGACGTTTTAATTTGTTCAACTTTTGGTAGTTAGAGTTACAAGAACAAAAAAATGGAAGCGAGATGAATAAGTCTTGACGAAAAAGATGTCGTTATTATTGTTATGGACCTACGGTTCCTACAAATTTAAGTATTGTAATTAATTGTTAATTATGTTATTGGAAATTTTTTTTTCTTCCTCTCTAGGCTCCAAAGTTCAGTTGTTCATCAGAGGGAGAATCATCTTCACAGGCTCAATCATGCTCATCACCACCTTGCTTTGGGAACTCCGAGATTATCAAAATGGTGCCACTACCAGATCTTGTTAAGCCCAAGTTACTTGCTCTTGAAGCAAACCCTGTTCAACAAGAGCTTGCCCCAACTGAGAAGAATCCATGGATTGAGCCCCAACCACTAATCCCTTTCCTACAGAACCCACAACCCCAAACAGACCTAGATTTCTCATTAGAAACCCAAGAACTCTTGGCAAGATTTGACCCCTATTTCGACATGTTAACGCCTCTGGTTGCTTCAGAACTTGGAAATGGAGGAGAACAACTTCTCATGGAGCCCCCATTTCTCGAACCGGTAGGAAGTTGTGGAAGTGGTGAAAGGGACAAAATTGGCAATCCCATAACCCCGGACTTTGTCTTCGATGACTTACCGGTAGACATGTTTGATCAGATTGAACTGCTTCCAAACTCATCAGAGCAGCATTGAATGGCAGTAACCTTGTAACTTCAAGTTTGCAAGTAGGATGTGGAAACTAAACACTAACTTTGTATTAGTTTCTTTCACTAGAAATTGACAAGGTTAACTGGCATGATAATTTCTTGTTACTGCCATTATTTGTACTAGACATTGAACTACACATAATAGCAAGTCAAGTTTCCTCTGCCATTCTTTGTTCAACAGGCATGATAGTTGCTTCTTCTTAAAGAAAGGTACTATGCTTGCATGTACTGTAACTCAAACACTTATAGAACAAGAGTAAGATAACTTTCTAACAAGAGTAAGAGAACTTTCTTTGATGGTTTCAGTCATTTTTCGGTTGTTAGTGATTGAAGTAGCACATGATCATATTGATAAATGAGAAGGGGGGGTGAAGGGAACTTGTTCTGATGTGAAAAAGAAGCTTTTGTTTCATTTCTTTCAAACCCGAGCGCTTCATGGCCTGGGGGCAAATACATGGAACTAAAGTTGCAAAAGAAAACGTAAAAGAGAAACTACTGTCTGATCAATTTGTAAACCAGTCAGCCTGAAATGAATTCCAATAATTGGAGTTTTGGTGTAAAAATGCAGTCAATCACGCTAGAAAGAAGGAAATATTACACGATCGTTACTCTGATGGTAAGCTTAAATCACCTGTCTCTGCAATTTCAAGCGAGTAACTGAGACCAGTCTGGCGAAGATTTTTCACTACCTCAAACTTCCCAGCAGTTGTTGGCTGATCTTTGTCGAAGACAGGCCTTCTTAGTTCTGAATATGCACAGTAATTTACTTCATAAACTGTGGCGCCCTCCAGGAATAAAGAAATTGATGAACCAACTCCTTCACCTGCACAAAGATGCTTTTATCTTAGATTCGAAAGGCGTTTCCTTGGGAAGAGGAACACATTGCTGGAGTTACTAAAGAACGAATATAAAAAGCTGCCGAAGATTTCCAAAAACATAAAAGAGAAACTAAAAACTCAAGAAAGAGTTGAACCAAATATGAAGCCTACCATGAGTGACAAGGAGCAGATTTTCTGTAGGGTATTTATCTGCAAGGGCCTGAATGACCTCAGCGTATCTAGCCCGTGCACCCGTAACACTCTCTCCCCACCGGGGCAACTGGAGTCAACCACAGGAAGAGGTTCCATTAGGCAAAGCAAAATTCATTTATGTCCTTATATACACCAAGAAATTTCCATATACCTCTTTGTACACTCGTTCCACAGTTTGATCCACTGTCCCAGCTGGGAACAAAGCCTCAAGCTCTGCTATATTGAAACCCCATCGTTGCCCATCTTTTGGAGCCAAGTCGCCACGGATGGCCTCCTTGTTCAGCATCTCACATAACCCATATTCAATTGAGACCTGTAAAATGGACAAACAGATTGAATCCTACATGCCATTGTCACTCCACATATTATTATCACCAAACTTAAATATAGTAAGGCTGTGTCTGTACAACACTTCTCTTAGCGTTTTCAATATCTGACATGTTATGCTGTCAAAACATAAAGTACAAAGCTTAAAACATAAGTTCTGATTCAGAGTCCGATAAGATAATATGTAAGACATCTAATACATAATTGTCAATTTATATACATAACTCTCCCAATTAAGAACAGTTACCCTGTGCTTAAGATTATGCTGTCAAATCCCCCCCACTTTCAATATCGCTTGTATAAAAAATAAAATAAAATTTTAAATTTTAAAAGAAAAAAACTCTCTCAATCGATCTACGTCACATATTGTTGTGCCCAAAAAGAAAAATTACTGTATATGTCTTATTATGCACGCAAACTATCAGAACAGGACCGAATCCACATACATATATATACAAATTTGATTCAATAAGCAATCACAATCCTCAACATGTAATAAATATGGTGGGGCCCACCTTGAGCTTAGAAGGATCGACAGGGAGGGGCTGGTCGCTTTCGTATTTGGATAGAGTAGGGTGTTCGCTGGCGGAGAGAGCGGTGACGACTTGGACGGCGGTCTCGACGCAGCGTATAAACGGCGAGACGAAGACCCGATTGATTTGGAATCCGAGATCGGATCGGAGCTTCGTACCCGTGCAGAAGGCCCGATCCTTGCCCGCTTGGATCAGAGGCGGGTCCCATGGTCTCGCTGCCTGCGACACCCAGAGAGGCTCGAAGTTGTCGATGCGGTCGCCGTGGCGCATGACGACGACGTTTTGGAAGCGTTGCGCCGCGGGTTGGCCGGAGTCGGGCGCGTCCATATCGGGAGATTTTGAGAGAAAAGTCAGAGAGAAAAGTATAAACGGAGAGTGTTTTAATTTTTAATTTTTTTCTTCTTATTTTTTTGTTTAAGAGGAATTTAGAGAGAGAGAGAGAGACGAAGACGAATGGTCGTCGCAGTTACGTGCTGGAAATTAATCCATCTACATAAACTAACATATTATGTTTAGGTACCACCAAAACACTAGCAAACATATATATATTTACATTATTGATGGTTTTTTTAGTAGAATCTGATTCAAAAGGAGACCTTAAGCAAGAATCTGATTCAAAGAAAATGGACATGAATAGTGTGTTAGGCACAACACCATCTATTATTGGCACCGGAGTTCATAGCCAATTAGTGGATCAAAATTCCATGGTTGACGTTAATACCCTATTAGGATATTTGATTCAAGTTTAAATGTTAACCATTGAATTTTGACTCCAACATAGATAGATGACTGTGGGGGGCGACCAAAATGACTTCACGCACGGGTTCTTATTCTTATTATTATTATTATTATTTTCTGAACAGTCGTTTATTCTTATTCTTATTCTTATTATTTTCTGAACAGTCGTTTGGATGTGGAAATTTTTGAAATGGTGACGATGATGATAGTGGGAGTGGTTGTGGTTGTGGTGACCATGTTGTTGGGGGTTGTTATCAATGATGGTGGTGG